CATGCGTACACACACACATACACACACATACAGTACACATAGCCTGGGATAGTGGGATTTAACTTTAGTCCCAGTGACTCAGGAGGCTGACAGATGAAAGATGGCTTGTGCCACAGTCAGAGACAATATGGCACCTATGAGTCTGTATCATTAAAGGGCGCAGCTCATTGGCACCGCTCTTATTTAGAATGCCCAAGATCATTGGCTGGACCCGAAACAATGCAAAACAAGAAGTATCTGCACTTATTTCTTTTTGATAAGATTCAGTTACACAGAGAGCAGGGCACTCCAACAACTCCATATTGAAAATAACATATTGTTCCTTCGAAACAAAAGTGGCTTAAGGAATCAAAAGCAAGCTCAAAAGAGCAGAATAGGCTTTACAGAAAAATAGACAAAAGATTATTCTGGATCCACGGGTGGTGGTGGCTTTCGCTTCACATCACATTTGCTCTGGAGCTGGGAGGTCGCCAACAGATGCGGCGGGCAACCAAACAGAAAATGAGCACCAGAGGCTCTTCAGCCCCTCCGAGCGGCACCCATCCCTCTGACACCACACACCCTGTGCTGACTAGCATGAGATCACCTGCTGGAGATCTTTCAGTCAGCCTGTCCATGGCAGAACTGTTCTTAAGGTCAGCCTGAATCATAGAACTACTCATTTGTTTCTGAAACGCTGAGGCAACAACCAGCCCACTGTAAAGAAGTAGGCAAAACAAGACAAAACCCATGGGCTGAGCTGATGGCTTGATCTACAGAGTGCTGGTTGCACAGGCAGAGGCTTGGAGCCAAGCTCACATGTCAGAACCATGCATGGCAGTGCGTGTTTGGGATCTTAGTACTGGGGAGGCAAAGACAGGAGGATCACAGGGATTGATGGCCAGATAGGCCAGCCAAGACCAAAGTGAGCGCCACATACACAAAGACCCTGCCTCAAAAGTAGGGCAGAGCTAAGCAAGAAGGAGGACCCTGGGTAACATGCTCAATCCTCAATCAAAATGGCAAAAGGGATAGACATTGGAAGAGGGTGAAAACAAGGAACAAGACAGAAGCCTACCATAGAGGGCCTCTGAAAGACTCTACCCAGCAGTGTATTAAAGCAGATGATGAGACTCATAGTCAAACTTTGGGCAGACTGCAGGGAATCTTATGAAAGAAGGGGGAGATAGAAAGACCTGGAGAGGACTGGAGCTCCACACAGAGAGCAACAGAACCAAAAAATCTGGGCACAGGGTTCTTTGCAAAGCCTGATACTGATACTGATACTCCAACCAAGGACCATGCATGGAAATAACCTAGAACCCTGACACAGACATAGCCCATGGCAGCTCATTCTCCAAATGTGCTCCCTAGGAAGGGAAACAGAGACTATCTCTGACATGAACTCAGTGGCTGGCTCTTTGATCACCTCCCCCTGAGCTGGGGGCAGCCTTACCAGCCCACAGAGGACAATGCAGACAGTCCTGATGAGAACTGAAAAGCTAGGGTCAGATGGAAGGGGAGGAGGACCTCCCCTATCAGTCGACTTGGGGAGGGGCATGGGAGGAGATGTGAAGGGAGGGTGGGGTTGGGAGGGAACGAGGAAGATGGCTACAGCTGGGATACAAAATGAATAAATTGTAAAAAATAAAAAATAAATTAGACAAAAATAGGGCAGAAAACGCCCAAGACAGACACCAATGTTGAACTTTGGCCTCTAGATGTTCATGTCCACATATTTATGTACACCAGAACACAGCTTTGCACACAGACATTCAGTCATTCCTACACGAAGCACACATAAAAATAAAAACAAGCAAGCAAGCGGACAAAAAAGCCAACAAAAGATAGAGGAGGACGTTTATCATCCATAGGTTAAAGGTCAGGATGGTCTTTCCAGTCATGGCAGAACCGTTCTTCCACATGGTCTGTTGGAGGTGATCAGGGAGTCAGGCTCTGCAGTTAGCTGTCTGGCAACGTTATGAGGGCTTCTCTGAAGAAAACAGTAGCACCCCCGTGTGCTATCACTTTACCCACCCGCGTCCAAATCCCGCAAGGATCTGACTGTCTTACACTGCCGTGTGTCTATCACAAGCTTACGACTGCATTCCTCCATTCCCAGCATTTGTGCTGGCGACAGCTATCCTACCCCAGACTTTCTCTTAGTTAGACATTTAGTTTAATTCCCCAGATACTGAGAAAATCAACAGGAGTTCAGAAAGGTCGACATCCATATCTGGCTCTTACTTAGGCCTTGAGGCTTTCATAGCTGGACTCCAAAGTTCTCATTTTTATTTGGTGATGAACACCAAGTGTGTAAAGTTCTCATGACAGGAAATATCTCTGGACTGAAGTTTTATATGGAAAGTCTCCCCCTGATTCTGTCAGGCAGCCTTTGAGGAAGCACTCCAACACACAAAGATTATCAAGCTTTCTCCCTTTACAAAGATACTGAGTAAAAATGTAGAGACTATATTTCCTTATGAAGCATAAAACTCTATTGTGTGAATAGGACAATAGTCTATTACAAAAAAGAAATTATTCATGTTGAGTAATAACACTGTAAATACATTCAGCCATTTTGATAAGTGTTTATAATAGGTCTCCCTGTAAGACCTCACTGCACCCTGATCCTTTCCAGACAGCACAGTAGTAGGTATCACTATAGCTCTGGAGTTTCTAGGAGATAGTCTCCAGGAATTGACATGTTTGGCAACTTTATCCCCAAATACTTAGGATTTATTGAGCCATATCATCTCAAGTATTAATTGAATCATCATAAACTAAGTATCATTTCATGCTTTATTCCAGGAATTGTGTGTGTGTGTGTGTGTGTGTGTGTGTGTGTGTGTGTGTGTGTGTGTATCAGTAAGATGTACTATGCACAGTGTATAGAGACAAACATCTAAATGCACAGATCAGAATGTGGAGTGTGCGAAAAGGCTCAGTGCCATGGATGAAGGGACAAGGTGCTCTCCACTGTCCAAAAATTAAGTGACCACATCTAAGATGTAGTGATCCTTGACCCACTCCCATGGGAAAAGCATATTTACCATAAAGATGGAATTCAAAAATCAGAAATTTATCCCAGGGGGAGGTTTAAAACTGCCATTGAAGATGTTCAGCCAAGTTCACAATTGTGCATGAAGCTGGGCACAGCAGAATCATCAGTCCATGCGGACTGCAGAAGAAACCCAGTCACAACATGGGATGTTTTGTATGAGACAAGCCGCTCAGGTGAAGAGTTTGGGCTAAATCCCAGAAGCAACATGGCACACACATTCAACCATGAGCAAGACAACCCAGTCCTTTCTCCGATGGAGGTGGAGAGATGACCTAGCAGGTCTGAGATGTTAGGGTCATGATATATTCAAGTGTTCACTCAAGAGAAGATAAGCCAATGAAGGCAAGAAGCATCTCGGGTAAAAACAAACCGAGGAACCACTCATGAGTACAAGAAAGTGCAAATGTTGATGTCATTTATTAAGGTTAATTTGGAATTGGTCGTTTGCTTACAAACCCCAATAACTTATACCATAGTGGGTCTCAACCACTGTGGGTCTCAGATCTCCTGAAGAATTCCCTGGAAATCATAGGACTACACAGATCCATATTTTATGTTTTTCTCTAGTATTATTGCAATTATCTAGTATTTTATCTTGCCTATGTGTGTAAGCATGGGCACATGTTCACCAAGGTGTGTGTGCAGAGGTCTGAGGACAACTCTGTAGAGAAGAGTTACACACATGGAGCTACCTTTGTTAAGCCTGTGTGCCCAGCGTCCTTGCATGCTGAGCCATCCCACCATCCTGTGACATTCTCCCATAAACAGAATCCCCTGTCTGTTTCTCGGAGACCCATAAATGATAGATCAGAACTTCATACTGTCCCTAAAGTCACCATTTTTTGTTATATATTCTGCCTCTCTCAGGCTCATTCATCTTTGAGTATGCTTAAAATTATCTTATTGCTATCTTGGCACCGTTCTTTGACCATCACTATTTATATTCAGCCCTGCAGACTTATATATGTGTGTCACTGTCACATGGAAAATCCATCCAAGAAACACACTTAGTTTGGTCATGTCTGAGAGCAGGCAGTGGTCAAAATATTAAGCACATAACACATCAAAGAGACACAATAGCAGACGGAGAGTCTGACTCATCACCATGCTGGCCTACGTGTGTTTCCTACCCACCTGCTCTCTCCTCCTATTTGAGAGGAAGATACAGAACTACAGAATGCTAAGTGACCAGGAGGGAAAGAAGGAGGGACTGCAGAGCAAATGACCAAGGTTGCCGAATGACAGACAAGAAGACAGAAACTATGCCTGACTTGTTGTGAAGAAAAGTCAGGACCACAGATCCTAATAGAGTCAGCCTGACTTTGTAAATCCTGGTTCTGTGACCTGGAACATCTTTTAATTTGACTTTGCCTCGATTTCCTCAAATACAAAAGAGAATTACTAATATTATTTCACTGGATTATTGTGAAGATTATGAATTATTGTGGCAGTAAGAAAGGCTTAGCCCCCCTCTACACACACACAGGCATGTAGGCATGTCTGCACATGTACAAACACAAACACACATGTCTGTGTGTAAGCATGTAAGTAAGTATGTTGCATTATCTAAAATTCTTGGAGGGAAAATCTGCTCATAAGGTTAGATAATTGAAGACTGTTTGACTCATGAGCCTAACAGTGATGTTTTTGCCTCTTCTTCGGGAAGAAGCCAACTTTGATTCTGGCTGACTTTCGCCATGTCATCTTAACATATTCATTACACTTTATATAGATTTCCCCTTATTATATTCCAGAAGCAGGTGTCTCGAAAAGAAAACAAAGAACTAATCATCACTGCTTATGTTCCCTTGTAGAGTCAATTTACTTGAAGGAATTCTATGGTGCCTCAAGTGAATCTTCTGTGTGGTTCTTAAGCACATGATCATTTCAAGCGAAAGACTGAAGCCAAGCTACCAGAGGGCTAGACTGGCGGACAGGGAGACCGTGAGAAACCTACCATTGTGTTGTGCTGAGCAGTGGGGGTCCTAGGACCACAAGTCTCTTGAGTCAGCAGAGAAACTGGCTGAAATTCCTCAGAGTGAGGCTTGTTGGGAAAACTCACATGTAAGGGAAGGTGAAAGGCTGGAAGCCTCTCACTCTCCTCCTCTTCCACTTTCTGTCTGCTCGTCACCATGGCTACCTCTCCATCTGTCTCCCCATACGGAGAGCCTGGTCGCTTGGAAGACATCCTGGAAGGAACAAAAGAGGAGAAAATAATGAAACCTCCACATAAATCCTTAATGCCGTCATTGTGTGGTTAGGGGCCACTGTAACAGAAATGCCTTTTTGTGCTGGCGGAGAGCAGGACGCCATCCAAACACCACTGCACAGCGCACACAATCAGAAACAATGGCCAAGCAGGTAGCGACAGAACAGGGCTTGTTTGCTGTAAGAATAATACACTAATATAGCACTCTCTTGTATTCTGGCTTCTTAAACAAGAAAATTCACCTAAGAACACTGCATAATGCAAGTCCATTCCATTCTAAAAGGTAGAAAAGTATCCATCTAGTTTTACACTTTGATAGACCTTATTCAAAACAGAACATCTGTGAATAGCAAATACTGTGGGCAGTTTAAAAGAAAAAAAAGCACTAAAATTTTCCCCATCAAAAAAAAAAAAAATATATATATATATAATAAAATAAATACATGTTCTCCACTCTAACAAGTTTGCATTGCATTAACAGTGAGATTACTGTGAGACATAGCAATACGCTTGAATGCAGTCCTCAGAGAAACTGACAGAAAGTTGAATATTTGTTCAAAACTTAAGAACTACAAACATTTTATCATTGGTGACTTGAGAAACATTTTACCCGTTCTGGCATTTGGTTCTAACAGTAACACTGTGAGGTAGCAAATCACAAAAAGATCATTTTTAGAAGTTTTGGTTCTAGCTGCACAAGCCTACACATTATTTAAACGTGAATTCACAGTTATTTATTCCTTAGAACATTTAAAGGCAGAAAGAGACCCCTGTGCTTTGATTTGGCAAGAAAGGCTAAATGAAACCAGGCTTAGATAAAGGGACGAGAATTGAGCATTATCTTTGTTTCAGTAGGATTCAGAATATCATCTGAGCTTAAAATACATGGCAAACCTTTTTGGAGAAAGGGGCCGGCTGCTCTTTCTCCTCTCACAGAAAAGTTTTACATAGAAATGGAACTGAACTAAAACGTCTAATGTAAAAAAACAATCGGCTGTCTCATGGTATGTGCGGCTTGATCGGAGCCTGAAAGGACAGATTTATTTTTTGGTTGTTGTTGTTCTTCAAGACAAAAAGAGTGTTTGCAGACCCTTCCTTTTTTATTCTAGACCAGTGCGACAAGAGGCAGAAATACCCACCGACGGAGGCCTTCGCTACTGTCACACACAGCACAGACTTTTACATTTCCAAATGATCTGTTTCTCATCCACGAAGAATGATTCTGCCATTTGTGTTAGACTTTCTCTTGCTCAGTTTACTCATCTTTAAACTGAGAGACATCTGCCTCTTAAGGCTTTTGGAAAGAGAACCAACAGAGTCCTCAGCTCAGGCTAGACACTGGCTGAGTGCAAGCTCTTACTTATATTTACTTATATTGCAGACTTCAGACTTCCCACATGAATCTCCACCCTCAAGGAGACAAAAAAAATAGAAAAGAAAGAAAGAAAAAAGGAAGGAAGAAAGAAAAAAAAGAACAGAAACAAAACCTCAAAATCAGGGAGACATTTCCTTGTAAGTGTTTAGCTGTAAACTCACCAAGCCCATCAGAAAGCTTCTCCCAGATCTGTAGTTCTTAACTGTAAACTAATAGCATGAATCATCAAGTGATTTAAAAGAAATGTTAATAGTGACATTGTTGACCAGCTAAAATCAGAGCAGATCAAGGGGAGGCAGTGTCTACAGGCAGCTGTCATGTGAGCCCTCAGCACTCAAGTGTTTGTAACTACTTCCAACTCCCCAGCAAAGGGCTATCCCAAGTTGACTCTAAATAGAGTGAAAGTGGCTGGAATAAACCAGTTGGAGTTGTTTAGATTTCATTGCTAATCTTACTAGCTAGTTACACTTTTACATGTAACAGACTCCTGAACACTGAGCTTACTCAAATCACAGGGGTCTGATTGTGTGTTCAACTAGCAAACAGCTCATCATATATGAGAAGGGCGGGTACACACACTGGTGAAACACTTAAGGTCTTTGCGGAGAGACTGATCGTAGTACATAGTACTCTAGTAGGAAGATTTAACCATTGGTTGTCCTCAGTGCTTGCGGTTTGCAGGAGCATCAACATTCTGACTGGAATTAATAAATGATATCCCAAGGTGCCCCACCATGGCCTTGAACATAATCAGTCTTCCTGTGCCTGAAAGTGCTAGGCTACTGCCAACACTTGGCCCCTGGTTATTGGACAAGAAAACTAGCTCAGCTGGTCTCCAAAGTCATTCCAATTCTCCAGTTCTCAGAAGGAAGACTGAAGCACTGATTTCCACTTTGCTAATATCATCATTAGTGAAAATGTGAGATCAAGAAGTAGAGACACAGAGAACAAGGTAGAAAGAGAAGATGGTGGCACTATTCTCAACACATATGGCTGCACAGGTCTGCTGCATACACAAGTGGCTGTAGTCACCAAACTCATCCTCAGACACAGTAAAAAGTTCAAGGTCATGAACCTAGAAGGCAACAGATCCCTCAGCTTCATTTTCAAAGTATTCTAGGACGCCTTTCACGTGCTGGCCTTTGGAAACCGAGCTGATAAATGCCAGGTAAAAGGCTTCTGGAAGACAGTTAGATACCTGCAGTGAGAACATGCCTGGTTATGATTCAGTAAGGCTACGTTGGTGAAAAGGAAGACTCCTACCAAACTATACAGAGAGCTCCGACTGCAGGCTATACTGCAGTTTCCAAGCTTCCTGTCACTCACACGCTGACAGCAAAATGAGCAATGGCAAGACAAGGTGGCCTTCTTCCAGTTTTGCCTTCCCAACGGATCCTCCGTGTCAGCTGCTGGGGGCAGAAAGACACGACAGACTCACTGTGGTTTCGGAGGACCGACATTCCCACACTGGCATGTCAGGGTGGCAAGGGGAGGGCACCCAGGGCAATGTGAGTATAAAGAGTGGTCTTACGTGTTTTACCAGTGACAAACCCTGACCTCGGAGAAGCTGGCCTATGACAGACAGAACTCAAAATGGCGGTGTCTCTTGCGGGTGGGCTTCACGGGTGTGGCGGTAGTAACAACTCTATTTTCCGTCTTTCAAGGAAACTTTCCTCAAAGAATTCATGGCTCATGTAGGCCAAGAGAGGCACTTTTTAATCACCAAGTATTATCTTACCCTTACAAAATACAAGACACTTACCTAATAAGATTTCTTTAATGACATTGTTAGTGTCTCTGTTTCAAGAATATTATGAGGTGACTAAGTGGATTTTATGTAAAGGGATTAAAAATACTTACAGCCATTGAGGCTAAGACCCATCTGACAGAAAAGTCAGATGCCCCTGGTTCTACAAGGCCACAGGGTCCTGTGACCTGGGACATTTTCAGGAAGAGGAATGACAAAAAGAAATGCGAGTTTGGGGATAAATAGAGCTGGTTTTCATGTAGGAAGTAAGGGTGGAAGCAGAGATGCAGACGGAGACACTTTTAGAAAGTCAATATAAATTTAGGGTTCAGGTTTATTTAGGAAAAGGAGCAGATTGAGAAGCATGGATGGAGTCCCATCTCTCCTCTCCAGCACTCCTGGGATCCTGAGTTACATGAATGGAATAGAGAAGCAGCAGCGGTCCCCTTGGAAGGAGAAGCTGGCTTTCGCAACAACTCACTTTTTTCTTTCCCTTTTACTGTAATGTTCTGCATAATCATGCTACGGGTGCTGAGAGATGGCCCTCTTACAACGGCTGGTCTCCTGCTGCTGCAGGGACGGTCTCTAGGTAGATCACAAGCACTCTGCGTGGAGGATGCCTCCGTCTGTGCTCAGTCATGGAGAACCAACATGGAGGCAGAAAGAGGAATTGAGACTGCCAACCGAAAAGGAAGCCAGTGGTTCTGGCAGCAGCATGGCGGGATGACCTGGGGGCAGGTTGTTGCTGGGGTATCACCTCCTGAAAGCTACTGGCACAGATTGAATGTCAAGACTATTTAGAGCTCCTTAGTAATTCTAAAAACAGTGACTGTTACAAACCCCAGGTGCTCATCAAAAGAGGGCCCCACCCACTCAAGACACCTGGGCCCTCATCCTGGAGCCTGTGAAGCCTCCATGTTTTAGGGAAGAGCTGGCTTTGGAATTGTGAGATGGAGAAATCTGAAGATGAAGAAATTGTAGCTGGAATCGCTCTGGGGTCCAAAGTGACCCTCATGTTTTCAAGACAGAAAGCCAGAAGGGGCAGAGACAGGCACAAGCTGTCAGATGCTGTGCGATAGCTTTGCAGTGCTGAGCAGAAGGTGAACCAAGTAATGCACACGACATCTGTATACTGGAGGAGAGCAGCTAGAAGAGACCCAGCCCAGAAGGCACCTTGACTTTAGGACCTCTGACTTCAAAATTGAAAGTCCAAGCCACACAGAGTCGGCAACGTAACATAACACCATAATCCAAAAGCCTGGGTTCCACACTGGGCGTTTCCTGAAGCTGAACACCTCTTTCTCCACACACAGACCTGCCTCGCTCTCCCTTCAGACAGATTTCTCCTCACATCTCTTATTCAGTAACATCTCATTCAACACTCTTCAAAGGACAAGCTTCCTTCTTCCCCACTCTTCCTGGGCACAATATTTTATACTTACTTCTTTGTTTATGGCCTATCTCTCCCACTAGAATACAGGATCAAAGGAGACAGATATATTTCTACACATAGGATCTGGGATCTAAACATCTCTGTAAAATCATCTTTCAAGCACATCTGTTGAATGAATTGTTACTAAAGCCAATGACCTTCGGACCGGCTGGAGCCACAGTGCCTGTAAGGTCAACTCTTACCAACCGGTGCTGGCAGTGTCTCAGATGACAGAGAGAGGCAAGTCTGGCCAAGAGGAAGTACTGTCCTCCTTTTTGGAATTCCAATGGTGGCCTTTTTCGTGTGTGCCTTTTCACATGCTAATATTCCTATAAAAATATCTTAATTCAGAGTTCTTATAAAAATATCTTCCAGTTCCACTTCAAATATATGAGGAAGCTGGGAGAGACTGCTAAGTGCCTAGGA